CTCTGGTCCAGTAGCCAGGGGAGCTGTGAAGCGGTTAATGTAGGCACCGAGCGTCTGATCCAAGCAGGAGCCCGGTCCTGCTCTGATTAGCACCTCGGACCAGCTCGCCGTGCATCAGAGCTGACATTGTCTCAGAGTGGCGTTCTCCCAGAATCCTTTGCTCGTGCTGTGCGAGGGCGTCACCTCCGCTGACATGTCACGACTTAACTATTCTGTCTTGGAAACACTCCAAAGTTTCAAACACTAACATGAGAGATCTGCAACCATCAAATGCTCTTTTATTCCTACATCTTTTTTTTCCTTTCTTTCCTGCTTTGGTGGTTCTCCGGTGTCTTTGATTTTATTATCTCGCACACAACCACATTTCCCTGACTTTTTGTATGACACAATAACGGAGATTTTGCAACGCCACGATTAAGTCCTATACTTCATTTTCAACATTTTGCACTTGATTCACTCTGTCCTTCTTAAACTGTGGAGGCAGGAAATACATATTAGTAATGCTCCCCCCCAGGCGCCCGTTCTCCAATCAGCTTAGGTCCAGGGGGAGTCCATTCCCGTGCGCTCCCAACGATCACCTTCCTACCCCCATGCGCTGCATTCTCCGGTCCTTAATGGGCCTCATAGTACTTCTGAAATGAGCTTGTGCCTTATGAGCAGTGCTTCTACCTCAAGAGAGCGCACCGCACGGAGGTGGAGTCAATTTGTATTCACCCATAATTCCCTGGGCCTTAATCACTCAGATTTTTTCCCCCATTATCTGTTAATGGATAGTTCCCGTGGAGAAAAGACGAAGTAAACCCACCTACTGTTTACAGGCCTGAAGCTGTCTGTTCTGCTGCCATCCAGCATCTTGTAGTTGGTCTTATAGGAACATGCCGGGGAGCTCCATATCTCCCAGGTTTATTAACACATAACTCCAACATCAGACTGAGAAATCTGAGTCAGATGTTAGAACAAAGACGTTCATAAACGTGCTCAATCCACACTGGTGTTCCTTTATTTTATTTTATTTTATACCTGGCATCTTGTAGGACCGTTAGTTTAAAAAGAAGACAAGCGTCGATTGCTGTTTCTGCTCTGTCGTCGCTTTTCAAAAACACAGCCCATTTCCAGCGGACTAAATATTCTCAATTTGTTCTCCCACTTGGTTGCTCATTACTCTCGGCCAAAGAAGTTCTCAGATTGATGTCCTTAATATCATCGACGCAAGCGACCGGGGTCCCTCTAATAGTGAGCTTCAGAGAACCATTCACTATGCCCCAGAGAGGAGTGGAAATCTAAGTATCAGATTTTTCTTGTGCAAAACTAAGCGCTCCAATTCAAACTGCTCCTCAGAAGAATTGTATAAGTAGAGTGAGGGGCGACGGTGGCGTTGGAACAGAATAGGCTGAGGGAGGTTTTTTTTTTAATTAAGAAATGCCCTGCGTCATACTTAATTATACGCTATTATCTCAAATTAAACTTGGCTTCAGTTACTTTAGTTTCACTTTGTTACTCGCAGCCATGTGATGGCTCGACTTTTCCAAAACACATTTTAAACTCAGCCCAGCTCTGACAGAATCCGGTAAACTGAGGGTGGGGTTTACTAAACTACACAAGGCAGACCTTGCTAGTCGCTGCATCCCGAACAACCTTCAACCACACATGAACTTGAGCCTGGATACAAAAAAAAAAAAAAAACCCCTCATTTTTTAAAAAAAAAAAAGTAAACAGCACTGAGAAATAAAGACCATTCTTTGAGAAAGTAGTTTTCTTCTCTCCCTCTCCTGTCCTCCACATGGGAGAGATATTAGGCGTTTGTGTTTTAAGGAGCTGTGAAATACATAAACCATGAGCCACAGGAACGCGAGGCCCTGTGGATATGCAGATGGGCTTACTTTGCTGGTGTCAGGGATGCTTAGAGGGAGCAGACTCAGGAGCAGTTCTCATCTAAAGGATTTTCTTAGGAGTGCAGAGGGACGAGGTGGCGGCGGAGGAGAAACACTCGGGAGACTTGGAAAAACTGAGTGGGAGGAGGGAGAGATGAGGATAGAGAGTGAGCTGACAGTCCCCCGTGGCCCTGTAACTATATCCAGAGTCTGCGCCATGCTTGGAGAGGGGTGGGGGGGTGGGGGGGCCACGTAGGGCCGTGCTGATTGGGCGGCCATGGAGAAAGGGCTGGGGGAGCAACAGGAAGTGACCTCAGCCCAATGAGGCAGCTATAGGGGTGAGAAAGCTGACTTCCTCCCCTGGCTCTCGCTAAGAACCAGGCTGCCAGCTTGATTCAGGCCCCTAAACTAAAATAAAGGCTGCGAGTGAAATGTTGTCTATTCTGTCAATCTTGATTTTTAGCATCAAGAACTAAACCTGAYCTAATCCCACGAGAATAATACCASAAAATCATGTGACATGATTCTAATAGCAACCATCAGTTGCAGGACAAATATATATTTTAGGTTAACATTAGGGGTGCAACGATACAGAAAAGTCAYGATTTGGTTCGGTTCRATACTTTAGTYTCACGGTTYRATATTTTTTCGATACAAATAACAGAAATTTCMATGCCCTTTTTAACTTGTAATTTATTAAGAACATTTGTKTAACCTCAAAAGTAYCATTTTAAAATTRAATTTCAACTTAAATTTWGCTGAAACAGCAAGTTYCYCARTGGMTCTGTGCTCRAAAATACAGCCTAGATAGAATAGTCGAACACAGATCCTGTGATACTTCAACACAGAGCATCTTCAGAAGACAAGTTCATMAAATAAWTTTTAAAAATCTGTATTGTTTGATACAAGTGTGTACAGAACCTAAAGCACTGTATTGAACAGTTCGATACRGGTACGTGTATTGTTGCACCGCTAGTTAACTTGAAAGAGAGTCTGAGCCAGGGCAAGAGGAGAATGTAGAYGACTAAACTGTAGTTGGACATTATTGTCTTTTGCAAAAACTGTGWCGTAATAGTTTAGCGGACGTCGCAGAAAAAAGAGAAAAATGAACGGGTTAAAAAATACGACCCAAACAGAATATAAAGATACCAAGTGAGACTAAATTTAAATTGTCTGCCCACCTGGAAACTTCAGTACACAACAAAATGCATTTAACAGCTAAAAAAGTGGATTTTGCATCATAAGTCCCCTTGATTTTAATAATAGTATCATGAAATGGTTGAAGATCTTCAAATAGAGTTACAAAACACCCGGCATATCTTTAAAAGGCGAATCGTTCTGACTTTATGGTTCCCATCGCTACCGATGCACCTGCTTACCAACGTAAACACACACATCCCCTCACGCAAGGTCAGTCAGGCAGGTGCAGAGTTATCTGCATAATGAAGCAGGCCAGGTCTCCGAAGGGACAAACGTGGTGCACTGGGGGTCAAACGAGGGGTGCGCATATGGCGGAGGAACAGATCTCTGACACGCTGCAGCTAGCTTGACCTCATAGCGCACCTCTCACTCAGATAAGGAAACCAAACAGCGATCAAAGAGGACGGCGGTCCACTTGCACGGCCTTGTGGACGCCCCCCCCCCCCTTCTCTTTTCCCGATACCTGGCAGTGCTACACTCAGATGCACATGTAGGGTAAAGAGTAGCTCATCTGTCAAATGCACAACAACACCCCACTCCCTTCACTCTGAGCAGCTTTGATCGGCTTTTACCTTTTGGAAGACAGTCATGCAGAAACATTGGCTGTGAGCTTGTGATGATAAACTGCTTATGTCCTGTATTTATGTAGCGAACCCTTTTGTGCGATAGTCACTTTTAAGCTACAGGTTTAGAGATTTAAGGTTGTGGGGGGGACTGTCAAATGTGTTAAAGTGATGTTCAGTATGTATGCTCTCCCACTGTTTCTTTTGGCACTGCAGGACATGTTTTCATTCCCTTCTTTTCCTGGCGTATTAGAGGTCATTGGGTTGTAGTTGTCACTACAATTCAACATCAGTTTGTAGGTGCAGAAGCTGAGAAACTACCTGTTTTTTATGATATCAGTTTCAGTCTGAGGGAAAAAAATGGAAAAGTTCTGTGTAACAAAATACTTCAGTATTGATGCAAATAAGAATAGACAAATATAATGCTGTGTAGATGTATATAAGAGGAAACATATGTTCAGCAAAAGGATCCAAAATATAAAAAATGACAAGCCTCTTACATTTAATTCTACTGTTTTCTTGTTTTCCACTGATTTGTTTTTGCCAGATTTGCCCTAAAGCACCTGCAATAAACCTTCTGCTTGGACTTGGCTGTGCACAGCTTTTCAGCTAGATTGCGTAGACATGCTTCTGGTACCCAGGGCCTGTGTGGTGGGCACTGGGCTGTGGAGACCTGGGGATAAACCCTGTACGAGTCCCTGAAGYACATCCACCCCACCCCCCACACTCATCATCAGGAGTTTGATAGCTCGCAGTCTGGCCCCGTGGCAGAGAGTAAAGGCCTTTTATTGACACGCTGGAGATGGGTACTTTTCTAAAAGTCTGAATCAGCAGGTTTGCTGTGCATGCAAAGGGCACTGCAGGTCCATAGTTGGGACTTTTGTTGACGTTATCAGTGGCCATTAATAAATATGTGTGGATTTATGTGCCAGTAAATTAAATGAATGCATTAAAGTTTATGTTCTAAAGGAAAAGCAAAAGTTATTAAAGTTGCAGATTCTAAAAATAATGATTTGTTTTTATTTTTATTATTATTATTATTCAAGTTTATTATAACAATGACGTTCAAAATGTTCCTCATTGGCGCAATTAGGACCCCGGCTGGTCATCCAATTTATGCCTGATGGGAGCAGCTCACACGTTGTATAATTTCCCGTTTGATTCATGAAAATCACAGACAGGAGTCTTTGCCGTAAAATTGTGAAATTTGAATTTCATGTGAAGACGGGGAGGGTGAAAAAAAGAAAAAGAAAAAAGTGGGGGTGAGGCAGAGTTAGACCTTTGCTGCACCTCGGCCATTCACGCTCTGTTTATTTTTCCCTCTCATGTTTTTTTTTTCTGTGTTTGTGTTGTTTCTCCTCTGCAGAGGAAGGACTGAACCATGAATGCAAGCTCTGTAGTCAGTCGTTCGACTCACCGGCAAAGCTTCAATGCCACCTGATTGAGCACAGCTTTGAGGGCATGGGAGGAACCTTCAAGTGTCCGGTCTGCTTTACAGGTTTGTACTCGGCTCCGCTGTGAGTTGGTGAAACTGGTGAAATAACAAAGAAAACATTTTTGTAGACTTTTTCAACGGAGCGCCCAGAATCTTTGAGTTACACCAGGCAGATGGCTTCTAAATGAGTTTGGAAAGGTCAAGAAGAAAAAAAAGAAGAAGAAGCTGATCACAGTTTGTTGCATGTGGCTTTTTTTGTTTCGTCAAATTGCCTCCAAATCAAGGCCAAAGAAGTGTCATGAGGTGAGGGGGGGGAGAAAGAGGTGGTGGGGGTGGAAGATGGTGTGAGCTGAGGGGAGATGGGGGATGGAGGATTGTGGAAAGAAAGGGAGATGTGCTAATTGTGGATGGCAGTGGTGCTGATAGCTGTAATGATCTCATCTGTCTCTGTGCGTGGAGGTGGAAGGACCGGACTCCTCCGGAGAGAATAGCGCCCTCCTTCAGTGTCAACAGGGTTAACTATCTCTATAATGAAATCTGCAAAGTCGTTAACTTCGGCTCTTCACTCTTTCTCCCTTCTCAGCTCTTTACTCCTTCTAACACTTTTTGGGTCCAGCTCCCACCCCCCGAACTTCCTGCACGCACAGCCCTCCCCAACATCCACCCGTTGCATTTAAAAAAAAACAATTTCTCCTTTTTCTGTTTGTTACATCAATTAACATCATTAGCTCACGTTTTGCTTTGTGTTTGTTTTTCTTCTCTTCATCCACCTCCATTCACATCTCCTTATTCACTCTCCTTTCTCTCCGCTCCCCTCCCTCTACTCTACATGTCTGCCTTTGCCTTATCTCTCTTTTAGAAGAAGCCTATTGATATTTCCCCACCACCACCAGCACCCCGAGCCTCCCTCTCCCTCCACCCCTCACAGGGGTGCGGGCATTTAATATACAGAGCATGCCTCCTTCATCTGAGCCTTCATTTTCCACCGCTGTCTTTGACAGACAGGTCCCCCACCCCCCACCCCCCTCCACACACTCCCTCTGCGTCCATATCGATCACGGCGCATGAGAGAGAAAGGGAGAGAGAGAGATGGAGGGATGCTGGGAGGGAGACAGGGAGGAGGGAGAGACAGAGTGCACCCTCAGGACAGCGGTCGCAGAGGCAGGCAGACAGCTGGGCGAAGGCCTGTGGTGGAGGAGAGGAGAGAACGGACTGAAAGGCCTCCCTCTGTTGGGGATGCAGGGGACACGCAGACTAATCTGAAGTCAGCGCGCTCGAAGGAAACAGAGCAATTGAGAGATTGGCTRACAGCTGTCCTTGAATATATTTATTTGGGCTGAGTCTGAAGTACAGACGCGAGAAGACATTTACCCCCCAATTTAGCTAATTTAACACTGACTTAGGATTTGTTGGCAAACAAAATACGTGCAGAAAAGTTATTTTTGCCTTCAGCTATAAAAGGTGGGAAATCATGTTCCTGCCTTTGTCTACGTGTGAACGTCTGGCTTCATTTATCTGTCTATTTAGCGAAACATCTCATGAACCCCCCGAATTTTAATGAAACTCCTAGAATAAACGTCTACAAACAGCCTTGAAGCCTGTTTTTATCCTGGGCCATAAGAACGCCTGTAAATCCTGAAAAGCATTAAAATTAATTGAGTGTTTTTGTATTTTGTATGCTTGTGCTTTACATCACCTTTATGCATGACTGTTTAGTGATTTAGAGTCAAGCCGATTCTTACTCAAGTTTTTAGCCATATCTCAGTCAACTTTACAGATACTTTGCTTTTATTTTATGTGGTACTAGCTGAGAGTCATCCTTGTCTTATACTCTGAGCAGTAACAGGCTGTGCCAAATTTGTTATTAGAACCTTGGTGTGCAAAGCTGCAGGCAGTCTGCACTCTTTTAAGGAATGGTCCTTTCATTGTTGTTGTTTGTAAAGTTGATTATATATGGCAGTCATCTTGAATCAAATCTGACCATCTGTCTGTCTGTCTGTCTGTCTGTCTGTCTGTCTGTCTGTCTGTCTGTCTGTCTGTCTGTCTGTCTGTCTGTCTGTCTATTTTTGAATTTTAAAGTTGTAGAAATTTTATTTGGAACTTTAGAACGGAGAAAATCAAGATAGCTAAAATTTACAAATTTATTATATAAAATGTTAAGTTGGACACAGAAGTCCCAAAATGTAACAAAAGCTAATTCCCTTAAAGTAAAATCTTATTGTATATTTAAAACCTATTGTTTCGATATAACCAAGAACAATCCTAGCTAGGTTTAAGCCAATTAAGACCACATTTCTGCAAGATCTTTGCCAAATTTACCTGCAAAACTTTTCAAGTTTTAAGAAGACTGAACATATAATAACATAAATAAAGACAATCTCTATACAGAATCAATGCTGAATAGTTTATATGTATTTTTTGTTATGTTCTGTATGCTGTGAGGAAGTAAACTGATGGGTATTTAACTAGTTTTTAAACTGTTTTCATGCTGGTAATAGTGAAACATATCATCATTTCAACATTTTTTTATGTAACATCTAAATATGTTGAGATGATATTATCACATGTGGAAAAAAATACTGTTTTTGAATTGAATTTGTGTCTTCAATAGAAATAAATTYACAACTATCTTTCAAATGCATTAATACTGTCTCGACACTCAGCTCTATTTGAGCCACGACAGAACCGTGCATGCTCTGTGTTTAAAAAAAACATGATTTTCACTGWTTTGAAGGATGCCTTTTATCGATGTAATGAGTCTGAACATAAAAGCAGGACTTTGATCAAACTAGGTGGCGCCAGGGTGGTAGAGTGTGCTCATTTAACAAGGTTACCCTTTGTTTTAAAAAGACCATTCCCCCTCAATGCACATGTTTCAGTTTGATCCGTCCCCTTGTGACCCAAAACGCAGTGGGGGGCCGAGAGTGATTGTCATTCATTTACACACCTGATTATCCTCAATCTATGCTTAGAGTGATGGTTGAGAGGACAGATTATTCTGGGGAAATTTAAAAATACAAACTGACTGGAGAAAAGTGCGGGGAGCAAAAAATAAGTTACAGGCAGTAGACGAGGACAGACGAAATAGAGGAGAAAAGGAGACGAAAAACTTAAAGGAAGCCGAGAAGGTTGCAACTGGCAAGTTTGGATGTGAGATGAAAGGAGGGAAGTGGAGGAGGAAAAGAGAGCTGTGTAGGGGAGGGAGGGTAAATGGAGAGAGGTCCATAAGCCCCTGGATGATGAGAGAAATGCTGACTCTCCCAGGACAGATTTGACAGGTTTCAGAAGTGGGGGAGCCTGCAGCTAGAAGTGTCTGCCTGCACCCTTAGGAGCTGTAGGGAGGGCTGGTGTGGAAATTGTGATTGGGAATATGTGCTTAAGACAAACAAAACAGAAGAAAGTGTGCCTGATGAAAGTCCTGCGTGTGCCTCATGTCATCACACGACGAACAAACTTTAAAAAAAACTCCAGGATGCACTGCTTTCAAAAGCCACACGACTTTGACAAATGCAATAGTTTAATTAGTTTATTGCTCGGTTTCTGCACATATTCTGCTTGTACGCGATGATGTCATTACGACAACTTGCACGCGATGATTAAAATAAAGAGGAAGTGGACAAAGCTTTAACTTCAAATTGCCTCRTATCCACTCACACAGTCATTTTGTTTGTTTTGCCTCAGAACACGGAGGCTCTGAACCCTCAGATTAGGCAGAAGCAAACACATGTAGGCCAGAAGAATAAATAAATGAAAAAGGAGGAAGTGGGGTGGGGGTTAGAAAAGGATAAACTTATTTTCCTCCCTGCACAAACAGCTTAGTATTGGTGCAGTGCAGCCTGCAGAGAGCACCACCCTGCCAAAATAAAGATGAGCTGGGGCCTGTAGTAAAGGAGACGTCTGCCACGGGCAGCCCCTGAGATCTAATCAGAGGGCTTAATATCCCCCACAGCGAGGAGACCTTGGCCCCTCAGCCCCCTCAGCCCTGACACCCCCCGACGCCCAGCCCGGCTCAGCTCTCTGTTTGGCTCGGCTCTGCTCCGACTCCACGGCCAACAAACTCCACAAAGTTCTCTCTCCGTCTCCCCACCACCACCTCACGTTCTCTGCAGGGAGGGACACAATGGCCAGCCACTGATCCTGTTTGGACGTGGTTTTGGATTATTTCTTGCCTGTTTCTCTATGTCCTCGTTCTAACCCTCCAGGAAGACATGCCTCTGTTTCTCCACTGAATAGGCAATGCAGTTGCATATTTTATATGTGACTCATRCTGCCAAATGCCAATACAATGTCCCTCCATAGTCCGTGCCTGCTTATCCCTTTATTACACGTTTCATGCTCATTTGAAAAACAACCACGAAGACAATGAAAAAGTAACAGCTCTGGATTTAATTAAACGCGTGCCACACTAAATCTGAACAAACGCCTTTAATCATCCTTAACAAACATAAATTTAACCTAAGCCCTTAACAGGATGATTTAGATATTTTAAAGTGGGGTCCTGGGGAAAGGTTATAAGAATTAATATTTTATATGTTGATAGCTTGTTATGTGGTCTCTGGATTGAAGAGCTAACGGCTTGTCAGCAGCAGTGGGACCAAGGCCTAAGTGGACTGCTGCCACTTTAAAACTAGCTGTGTTTACATGGATATAAGAAATCAGAATAGATATTCTGATCTGATTCAGGTTGATTGGAATAAATTYGTAATCTGAATGAGAGGGGTGGTTTATGCTGATTGATAATCCGAACGGCGTGCATGTAAACACATATTCTGGTCATGTTATTCTGGTTGTGGAAAACTGACCTGACTGCGCATGGTCGCCCTGTGTCCACCAGACRTATTTCTGCCTGGCTAGATGCTAATATGTCAGGGGAGCAAAAGTGGTTGGTTAGCGATACAACCTTAGAAACTTTGGAAGAGCTCAAAGTTATCGAACRTCTTGACGGTCGAAAGTGTAGGAACGAGGAGTGCATCTCCACCGTTATTAAAATTTGGCGCAGGTCCATTCAGGATGTTTGYTTRTGTTCATCACGGAAGTAGAACTTCCTCTCCTGTGTTTTTTTAGGGAAAGTTTACAACTCTGTGCATGTCAATACTTCTGTTCTGAATAAAAACATTGTTAATGTAAACGCTGTCGGTTGTTGAAAGATCAAGATGCAGACGTTTGAGGAGCCACGTTCAGGATTCAAACATGATCATTGAATAATAAAGAAATTTATTGGGCTTAGGTTATATACTGATTTTAATTACATTACACATGGTATATAGTCTTATGATAGAACTGTAAAGATTGTTAAATGTGACTGTTTTGCTTAACTTGATGATTTTATATAAATAGATACATGCCTGAAAACAAATTCAACACATAACTGAACTTTTAAATCTTCATTAGGCTAGATTATGATGTCTGGGGGCGTGGCTTTGAGCAGCTCTAGGCAGAGCCCTATAGAATCTGGCTCTAGGGACCCCTCACTGATGATGTAATCAAATAGGCGGAGCCATGCGGWGGCCTATGTTAAATTCAATGCGCTTCCTTGTTTTGGGTCTGAACACTTGGTCATTTAACCAGTCTACAGCAGAGCACACAGGTTTTGTATGATTCCTATTTATTAATCTTTTCCATGCATTGGTACATTCTCCGTATGGTTCAAGCACATAACTGGTAAAYGAACAACGCATGACAATATTTTCTTTCACTAAAATGAGATACCACAACTAAACAGAAACAATAAGGACAAGCTGCAGCAGTGGATCTTAAGATGAACATAGAAAACAACAGAGTTCATGGGTGGGTGATTACTGAATGCAGGATAGGTGATTCCATATAGCTGACAGGAGGGAATGCAGCTGAAAACAAGGATCAATGAGGTAAATCAAACAAAAAAAAATCCAAAATACAATGAAAACACAAGATTAGTCATCAGTCTTCAGCTCACCAATCCAGTCAGAATTAAACTAATAATTTTAAAAAATAATCTTGCAAAATCACAGGTCTATAAAGTACTTGAAAAAAACAAGTAAAAGTAATTATACCTTATAAGAAATTAATCAGGTAAAAATTAATTTCATTAAAAAAAAGTTTAAGTCATAAAACTGATCACCATTATCAGGGAAGTACAAGTAAAAGTACTTTGACAAAGTCTGATAAATGAAGTGTTAAATTTACATAACCAAGATATGTCACCTGGTTCCACAAATCCGAGTTGGGTAAATATTTAGCAATTTACACTTCTGCTTTTAAAGAAAATATGTAAGTTGCTCAAATGGTTAAGTAAATTGTAGCACTTCATAAACAATTGCATAAACAACTCATTTCATGAGTTCAGGACATATTTGAAATTATAGTGTGTGTGTAAGTCGTTAAATTTTGAAGTAAAGAAGTAAAAGTATCATAATGTTTTGAATGTAACGAAACAAAAGTAAAAGTTACGATTTAAAGAAATACTTGGTAAAATCCTCAGAAAAATTCTTTAAGTACTGTAGCAAAGTAAATGTACTTTATTACTATACACCTCTGGAAAAGGTAAGATATTAATTGTGTATACTTTTCTACGAAGATGTGAACTATCATTTCAAATACCTTTAAAAATGACCTCTATAAATTCAGAGGCTCTTTTCCCATTGGTCTCRCAGAATACTTAAATGTGTCATTAAAGCAGTTTAAGTCACCTTTCACTTTATTCTTGCATTGAGCTATATTTGATAAAGGCATAGCTCATTAAATGTACCCATAATTGGAGCAGAACTGCATGCTTACAGCAAGTAACAGCTAACTTGACATCTCAGTTATGTTTGGCCCTATTGTACAGTATTTGAAGGCCCCCCAAGTCTCAAATCCATTTTTATTTTTGCTGTATTGACTTTTTCAGCTTCCAGCCAAAGACATAATGAAGGCTTCCTGCAGCTGCTGTGACCTGCTTCTGTACCGTATATGCAGACAAAACACAGCTGAAGGAAAAGACTATTGTTTATCAGTACATTTTGGCTTCCGAAGCGCGTATTCCCCGCAAAGAAAATTGTCATAGTTTCCGGAGCAAAATGTAGGCATGAATGTGTACGATGACTGAGGTCTTAACCTGGAGAAACGTTTTATCGCCAGCCGTAAAAAAAAAAAAAACAGCCGTGCCTCTGCAATTTTGTTTATCTCTGTGCGGCCGTGGTCATCACTCTCAGAAATGGACCRTGGAGTTGTTGTTTGTTCATTAGCGTAGGTTTGTTCATTTCTGGTTAACACTGCTGCCGTGTTCCAGAGACAGCTGTCACCCGGGCATTAGCAGTCTGACAGCGTTCCCCGCAGTGTGTCTGCCATGGATCTAAACTTTTATTTCCCAGGTCAGCAGTGTGACATTCAGTGAAGCTGAATGTTTCTTGACTCTACACAGCTCAATAATTAATAATCGCTCTCCCAGGTGAGCTCAAATTGGAACACGTTAAAGTTGTAGCCCCCCGCCGAACGGAACTCCAGCGACCCTAAAGCCTTTAACATCCCCCAACCTCACCTTTTTTTTTGTACTTGTTTGTTTTTGGTGGCTGTGCTTTTCTTTTCCCACCGCCTTGTGGCCCTCAGCGTACACATTAGACAAAGTTATTCTGAGCTGTAAAAGAAATTTAAATGAAGCAATCCCCCCACCCCCTTCCCCCTTGTGCTAACTTTTCCAGAGCATCTAGACCTTTGAGATTAGACAGCCATCCTTAAAGCGCAAGGGTCCAGGATAACAAACGGTGCGTTTGAAGTGCTCCTCGGAGAGTGCACCAGCACAGGCGCCACATGCACGACACTCCCAGGGCATACAGTTGCAGCCCACTTAGCTTTTCGGTGCGGACTATGGCTCAATTAAAGCACAAACTATATGTTTTTAGCTCCAACGTGTTGTGTGTTTATGTGATGGCGAGTGGAGTCTGCATGCATAAGTAGTGCAACACCATGAATATTTATACTGTCAATATAATTAGCGATGTAGACTAATGGAGGCCATGTTTTGCACTTGAAGCCATGCCAGTTTTTGTGGTTGTTTATTTCCTGGCTTGTTGTCCCCACTGCAGCACTAAATAAAGAGCATGAATATTCCCAAAACATTATGCATTTGCTTACTCTATATTGTGATTGTTGTTAAAATTTAAATTGTTCTAGGTTTGTATATATTTAACTCATAATAAATCCCTTTTTTAGCGTATTGACAGTGCCAYCATTTGTTTTGGAGTAATTTTCCTTACCATTTGATAGAATTAATAGTCTGCTTAATGCACCTTATTTTCCACTTAGATTGAGCAGCAGCGTGAAATAAAGATTTAAAATCCCTATTAATATTTATGCATCTTTTCTTCTCCCTTTTTTCCTCTGTATGTGAGCAGTGTTTGTCCAGGCCAACAAGCTCCAGCAGCACATTTTCTCTGCCCACGGACAGGAGGACAAGATCTACGACTGCTCGCAGTGCCCGCAGAAGTTCTTCTTCCAGACAGARTTACAGGTGAGTCTCAGGGACGGAGCGTGTGCAAGCGCCGCCGCTGGTTGCGCGCGACAACGCAACAAACACGAACGGCTCACCGCTCGCCGGCTATCCCCTCCATCCTGGCAGGGATGAGCGACTCAGAAGGAATTATTTCAGTCCGTTTCCAAAAACTCATTTGTGATGTGCAGATCTGATTTGATTTGCTTATTAGACCAGCAGAGCACTAAAATATCTGGAATTAGAGGATTAGCGGAATGCTCATTTTTGAAGAGGTAATTACATGCAGAGCAGAGACAAAAACACAGTTGAGTCAATATGCCTGCATCTCCTCTCCTAATCGCAAAGGAGGCCTCGTGGCTAAATATGAGCTCCGTCCTCCGGGAGACCATATCTGCCCTTCAACAAAGTTAGCAGTTGGACTTATGAACTTGCAACGTTAGAGAGATAATCCATTTTCTAGCAATCTTTTTGCTCTGGTCCTTGGAGAAGCGGGCAAAAATGAAACAGACCTTATTATATTATTTCACTGTGGTGGTGTTTTCAAGCAGCTCTGTTTTGTTTGGGGGATTCACGATCGTACACATGGCACACTTCTCATATCTAGATCCTTTTCTATTACTTCTCAAAACCGAATCACCAAAATATGAGTTCTCGACAATTGCTGTGTTTGACCTTATCATGAAAATTACTTTTAATTTACCCTAAAAGGATGGTTCAGATGGTTCTATAACTGCGATTGTGCAAAAAAAAGTTTATGAGCAATTGCCTTACTTGTAGTTCTTTGATTGGCCTCAGTTTGAAGAATTGTCTAAATTTAATTGAACTGATGAGCTTATGGCTAGACTGAGTAAGACCAGGACCAAAGTGAGTCGTTTCTGTTAGAAAACAATTCCAACATACTGAACATGGGTTGATGATAAACTTTTACACTGTTGTCAGTTTCACAAAAAATGTTATTTACATTAAATTCTATGCCTTATTGCACTTCTAGGTGCAGCCTGAGTCACTTCTGGCTGGAATATAATAATAGTTTTTGCTAGAATAATATAGTATAGTGAATTGAATGTAAAAGCCCTGTCACACTTTAAAGGGCCAATATTATGTGTTTCTAAGGCATGTATTTAAATACTATACCATAATAAAGTATCTATATATTTAAATACTATACCATAATAAAGTATCTATATATTTAAATACTATACCATAATAAAGTATCTATGTCACATTCAGTTGTTATTAAAATGCTGTTTTTAAGTTTAAATAGAAAATAAACTTATCCTCTCATCACTTCCTCTTCTAAACGCCTTGAAATTGGCCTCTGTCTCTTTAAGAACCACCTTCCGCTTCTGTCCCGCCCATTTCAGCGCAGGGGTGGGGTGTTCGCGTGCACGCTATGATGCAGTTTACTTGGCATCTGAAAATACATTTCCTCGAAGGTATTTTGAATCTGAAAAGAACTTGACTGAGTGGGAAGTAGTGTTGGGAGCTCAGCAGACAGTTTCAGTTTCACTTTCAGTTTCACCCGTTGTTTGCTTTGTTACTGCCGAGAGCCTGCAGGAGTCATGGACGGGGTGTGTGGGGTGTGGGGTGGGAAGGTGTGCTCCGTGATGAGGAAGCTCGGCTTGGAGACACAGCCCAGAGGCGGAGATGATCCCAACCAGTCATTTTTGCTCCTCTGCCTGGCTGCCTCAGGACACTACAGGATTTCTCAAACATGCATGAAAGAGTCAAAGTAAGACTTTGGGCATGTTTTTGATGAGAGGATAACATTGTAACATGATATAAAACTCAAAAAAGTTTATTTTACATGATATAGCCCCTTTAAAGTTTTAGACAACTTATGCCAACTTATGAAAAATTTGTCCAATACTGAAGATATCTACAATGAAGATGAAAATCAAATCATGGATGTCTCTTTTGGATGTCTACATATTGTATGATGTATAATGTTTAGATTGACTATATTATGACTATATAAAGGTTCACAAGTCAGCATAAGTTGTGTAAAACTTTACAGTGACAGGGCATTAAAAGTTTACAAAATGAAATTTTCACAAACTACCATATTAGATTGGTGCAATTTCAAAATGGTCTGCTTTCCACAGACTAGCTAGTTTCTTGTCAATCAAGTCAAAACTAATCTGTATTTCCCAAATTGTGGCCAGTTAAAAATTTATCTACAACAGGTGAGATAATAGTTGTTTGTGCCCTTTCCACCGAACCCCTGTTCAAAAGAACTGAACTACCCCTCCAATTTGCCAAAATAAGCAAACAGACTAATCCTCTTTTTACGTCTGCCTAAAATCGTCAATGTGCAGTTGTGTGTGTTAGCAGGTAGCCAGAGGAAGCATCCATTGATCAGCTCTGATTTTCATATTGAAATTCAGGTTGTAAACACAGATGTGTGTGTGTGTCTGCCAGGAGGAAGGTGAATGCGATCATTATCCGCTGGTCGTTCGAACACCACTAACATGAATAAAACAAGTCCTAATCCACCGACATGCAGCTCCTCTGCAAAGAAGATTATATAAAAAGCCTCGGCAACAACCCTCCGTATACAAACTACAGATGCAGATACTTTTCATTTATATTAGCCCCCACCTTTGTGTGCGTGCGCGCGCGTGTGTCATGTTTTCATTTCTCATTGGTACAAGTGTTTTCTATATAGCAAATGTTGCAGGAGGTACCTGTAAACAATCTCAAATAACCTGGGGATGTTTGCCTACTTCTCCCCCCACCCCTTCTTTTCTTTATGTTTGACATTTTCTGGAATGAAGTGATCTCCACCTCCCGGAGGTGATGTTTCATGCATGATTATATTGTTTTAGTGTGTGTGAAGAGACGAGCGGAGAACATGAAAGACCTATGGCACTCTGTTGTGAAACAGGGTGTTATGAAAGGAGAGCAAGAATGAGCTCGGGGGATAAGACAATCATTATCCTCAACCTGTTTCGTGCTCTAAAGACAGTCCCACGTGAATACATGATGGCGTGTTCTCAAGCACATATGACACGCATATACATGCATGTACTCTTTCGTTATAATGGAGGTTAAGGGGTTTTTTTTATTTTATTTTTGCCCAATAGTTTTGAATGTACTTGCCTTTTTTTCCACCCATGGTGAAAACTTTGGTTGCTAGCTTGTTTTTTTTTATCGTTGGCTGCCATTTCCCAACTTTCACTCTTCAAAATGTCTGCCTGACACAGGGCGCTCGTTTGTCAGTCTGTCTGAACAAGAGCTGTCTTCCAGCAGAGAGCTCCTTCTCTCTGCTTCGTCTTGAGTTTGGAGTTTCTCCCCGCGTTTCTTTGTGACTCTCCGGTCCACTCGCTGCCTGCGTGGGCTCCTCATCCCTCACAGTATTTGGAGGGGTCAAAGGGCCAGAGCAAGCCGGGAGAGGGGAGCAGCAAGAGGGAGAGCTGCCACGGCAGGTAAAGGGAAGCAGGAAAGATATTTTATTAATTTGCTGCTGAGATCCTGAAACAGACCAAAGGCTGTGACAGGTATCCACCACATCCTCCTCCACCGCCTCCACCCCCGTGAACTCTACCCTGCGAGGGGCTAGCCAATTTTCGCCAGCCTGTCGAGATGGATGATGGGAGAGCATCCGTCTAATCAGCCCTCTCAGGACCCCCCGCCCAGCCGCCCCCCTCAGACCATCCAGATTGACTGACTCCTGGGCCTGCGTGCCCCAGAATCCAGATTCCAGAGGAGAATAATCTCTCTTGCTCTCTTTCTCTTTTTCATCTATTTCTCCTTCCCACCTTTTTTATTTTTATATTTTTCCTTACTTAGACAAGAAACTGGGAGTGAAATGCACAGAACACTGCTTTCCTTGAAACCCTCCGGAGGACTCCCCTCTACTGTCACACATTCAGCCTTTACCTTCCCTCCGCCCCGTTAAAATGTGGAGTAAAGTGTAGATATTTCATGAGGTGCTGATATGGAGGGCGACTGGGCTGGTTGTGCTGTCTCTCTCTAACCCTTGATTACTGCCCACACCAGGAGTGGTTAGCTCAAGTTTTACTACATAAACCTTATCCTTTCATTACAGCTGTCCAAAAAAATGTTCCAAAGATTTATGTCAACTTGTTCTAAAAATAAAAAAATAACTTTTTTTTTCTTTCTGTGTCAGCTTCAGACAGAGTAATGTTTCACACTTGCTCAAAGAAGTCAGTTTAAGACAATGGTGCTCGGCTGGATTAATTAGCCAGATTCATTAACTGATGGATGCACGGTATTAGCCAAAGCTTTAATCTGACATTTCTCTGAGTGCAGCTCACTCATGTGTGCGTGGAGACGTTCACACACGCAGGTTTTAGCTCCAGTGTTGCAGTTACTGCATGGAGAGTTGCGATCAGAGGATTCTCTCCCAATGATTCCTCCAAAGACGAGACGAGACTGAAGTTGGACAGCGGCGAGGATGACACTTTATGAACCAACGCTCCTGTTACGCCTGTGTTTTATTGTATCCCCTCCCCCCATCTTCAAATTTCACTGCATTCTTGGAAGTGACACGAGATTGTAAGTCATGTGTTGAGTCTTGCTGTGATCGACGTAGGAGGGGAAGGACTGGGGTGCCGTATGACTTCTCCCTCTCCTCAGACGCCCGCAGGACACATACCTTAATTGGAGTGTCTTCTTTTTTCTTTTTTTTTAAAGGGATTCCTTCAAAGACAATCCAAAGCTCCCTGGCCTTAATGAGTGCTGAAAGTGACAAGAGCACATCTGCATCATGTTCTACTTCCCCTCACAAATGAGATTCTCCTCTCCCTGTGTGATAGCCATTATTGCCAAGCTGTGACCAATTCCACTGTTTTAATTAAGCATATTTATAGGCTTCACGGTCACCAGGTCAGCATAAACAGCTATGTTTGTCATAATGTCTGTCCCAGGAAGAAAACTGGGGGGGAAAAAGTGAGATGGATACGCTGAGAGAGAAAGAAAAACACAAGGAGTGCAGCCTTTATGCGTTGTAATGCATCAAATTACTTTTGCTGATTCTTCAAATGATGACTTCAAGAAATGACATTTTAGACATTTCCCCCCTCTTTTTTTCCAAAGGCATTCTTCATTATAACACAGGAGACCTAATTCCCCAGAACCTTTTGTCTGTCTTATTTTTTTTAATATTTTTTATATATTTAAAGTATGCCCCCTGAAAATGCCCTAACTGCCCCGAGTCCCAAATGTGTCACACAAAAGCAAAGCTTCATGCGTTTGTCCCCAAGTGGCTCTCAAACACCAAATTTTCTCTGAATGTCTTGATCTGCCAAGTGTGACAGCTCTTCACACATTTGAAAGTGGCAAATATATATTTATACTCCCTTTTATATGACAACTTGTTTTCTTCTTCATCACCTCGGGTTCTTAGAATTCTGGCACCGTTTCAAAAAGCCGCACGACAAAATAAAACAGCGGTGAATTACGACAAAAAATATAAAGAAAAAAAACAATAGTGCTGGCTTGAGAGGCGCCATCATTAATATTTAAGTTTATTTATAATTACATACAACACGGTTCCCATACTGTAAATGGGCACAAATACACCCTTAGATCCCAAGTGATGTATCACAATTGTTGTGTTCTAGTTTTGTAGGTGGATCAGAATTAGACAGCATGACAGACCTAATGATCCTGGGAGGATTTTCTCTTTCTAAGCGTGTGCGTATATCAGACTATGTTTGTGGGTTTACGTTTGTGTGCGTGCTCTATGTATTTGTCTTTGTCTCCATCTCTCTCAGGGTCTGATATGTGCATGCAAACACAATGTCTGGAGGGAGACATGACAAAAACTCCCAGAAGCCTTTGAGCTTCTTCTTCTTCTTCTTTCTTTCCTCTGTTGTACCATTGGGGAAAGTTAAATCCAAACAAAAGAGAAGATGCTTGGTGAACGGCACTGGAATCCATCTTCCTCAAACACATTTTTTTCTTTTTTTTTTTTTTACTTTTCTTAGTTGACTTTTTCAACAACTTTGATAAGCCCAATTTTTGTGGCGCTTTGCAGGAAACTCGCTGCAGCTTTAATTTCCCCTCTGTAGTGAGTTGATTTTCAAGAGTGAGCTGTCCAGCTGATGCTAACAAAATGTAGCAGAGGGCAGAATAAACATTAGGACAATTATTCCTCCTGGAAGTCTGTGTTCAGAAATAATAAAAACTTGTCGATTTTGAAAAAGATCATGTCCAACGGCACCAATTTTCCTTCTTTGTTAGAGGTAAAATGGTCCAGATCAGCTCTTGGTTTCTCGCAGAAGAATGGAAACACCCATTTTATCCCACAAACAAATCTCTGCGTTTTGTATTGTGGCGCGTCTCCTGCAGCAGCAGTTGAAAGGCAGGGGCGCACTCAGTAATATCCCTATTCAAAGTCTGTCCCTGACTGAAGTGGTTAAATGTGAAAGTAATTGTGTTTTGTTTCTGGGACTGACACGCGGAACCCCACGGACCCCATCTCCCTCCCAGTGACAGGCAGAGATCCTCCCCCCTCGCTCTGTCTAATTAGAGGATGTAGCCCAGGGCTCGTGTCCCAGGAAGACCCATCCCCCTCCCAAGATGGTTCCCCTAAGAAAGCCCTTAATTGGGTTCTTTAGTCATAGTCTTCATTTTGGCTGGAAAGGCGTTTGCGTGCTGCTCTCACCTCAAAATACAGTTTGTATCGCTCTCTTGTGTTTTTTTCTCCCCCCACCCCCTTGCTGGCCTTCTCTCCATCTCTGCTCCTCTTTCCCTCTCCCCTTCTCCCACTCTCTCCTCACTTAATGAGGCCCCATAATAACACAGCAGTTGTGCAGTTGTTTTGCTACCTCAGTCAAACAGCGGGATCACTGCATCGTGTGTTTCTAGTACCATTCACTTGTCTACTTAGACAGGGTAATGAGTATCATTTGGAGGTACAAAGCGCCGGCCCACAAAAAAAATGGTGGCCTGTCATCTCTGGTTACACCTTTAAAAAGCATTTGCTTGGGTTTGGTTAGATGTCTAATCAAAGTATTGCAAACATGGCCGATTCGCAATGTCAGTGTGAATACAGGGAGTACAAAGGAATCCACTGCCATTGTCGTCTCCTCGCCTCACTTTGTGCTGCTACAGTTTGACCATCACTCCCCGGGCACCTCACTTCAAACAAGACTGTCTGTTACCAAGGAGACCGGGCTGATTGTTGTACAACAGTGTTTTGGGTCAGCCCTCCCCGTGGCCTGATAAGTGATGACTGTGGAGAATGCCAACTTGTGCTTTCTTTATATATTTCTTTATTTGTTTATTTATTTATTTGATGGAGTTACTCATTGGTCAAACCAGGCACCGGTAATCCTGGCCTGAGGTGAAAGCGAGGAAGGATTACTCCCTCCGTGGACCGGTCAGCTGTGGGGAAAACACAAAGGGAACACCGGGTCAATACTGGACCAAGTTCAACACACCATTAAAGATCGAGACAAAATGCATTGCTCTTCTGTTTGCACCTTTTCCCTTTTTTTAACCTTTCAATCAAGACAAAAACATAATTACTGTATTTATTCAAGTATAATACGTAAAATTAAATCCTTAAAATCACCCATAAAGTTGGGGGGTAGTATTATACTCGGATAAATATTTTTACTTATGTATTTTAACTGAAAAATCGGCTTCATTCACAAAATGCCTGAGTCTGGAAATCACGTTGTGAAAAGCAGTTGAAACTAGCTTACCTCTGACACTCCTTCGTGCTTCAGAGTGAGATAGTAACAGATCCAGGCAAGCGACGTGATGTGAAAAAAAGTGGTGGAAGTATTCCTGCACCTTAGTAATGATAACGAACTAATGACATTAGCATGTGACCGAGCCGCTCCTCAAACAACAACAAACATGTTTGCCTGTAATGGCTGCCGTCTACCAGTGTTCTGAAAAAGTTTGTATCCCTGAAAAACCATTTCCCCACCAGAGGGGGTGCTAGCGAGTAGGAAGTAATCTGCTTTTCCCCCACAARAYKRYCCAAATCTCATGTGAAGTCTCTGACTTTTGTGTTGGCGCATCCTGGTGGACAATGTGTAAAATGCCAGAATTCATTTGATGCTGCTACAGCTGATATATACTGTATTTGTTTTCAAAATACCTTTTAGAACATATGTTGTTAAAATAAAATAAACATTCCAATGATCATTTTACTGATATGTATAACGACTGCAAAGGCTGAAAAATCTTGAAGTCTGTATGAAATTGGAGGTAGTTTGAGGATTAATTTTTTTATGCTTTTTAAGCTCAAAAAAGGGGGGTCGTATTATACATGAGATCGTATTATACACAAATAAATACGGTAAGTCTGAATTTGAATAATTTTCCTCAGCTTAAAACCAACCTCTTGTAGGCCTAAAAGAACCCAGGTACTTTGTTTTAGTAGCATTTAGCAACATTCTCTCATGCTTTAATTAAAATCTGGAGTGATGACTAAAGATGTGCACAGGTCTCAGCGGTTTCGTGCCCACTCCCCATGCTCCAGTGGCTGCTACGTACGTTAAGTTCATGTCAGCCATGCACAGCTTTTAATCAAAGCCTGAAGGGGGATGTTTACACTTTCGACTGATCTTCACATTTAGAATCAGAGCTTTGAGTCTGAAATATGTGGTCTTTCAAAAAAAAGCTTTCTTTAACAGGGAGTCTTTATTGTAGATAACATTTAAGTTTTGCTTAGCAGCAATAGAATTAAACACAGTAACAACTGCAAAATGTCAGTATTTGATTTAGATTTTTCTTAGAATCAGTTGCACTTTTAATATACAGACAATTGTTCAAGCACTGTTTGCATTTATTTATCACACTAAGCAGGAATATATGTTATCATGCTTTTGATTTTTTAAAACACTCCTCCCTTAAATGATTAGCTTAGCTTAACTTAGCTTAAACATGTGCACTACAATATCACCGCAATTCACTACACTGATTCTAACACTTTAAAAAGTCCACACAATACTTACAAAGATGAAAATCTTCCAAGGTGCAAAACGTGAAGAGCACATTTAGCATGTATGAGCCATTTTTACCTTTATCGTTTCCACACACTTGCCTCACTATAAAATATGTCAAAGATTATATTCTACGTGAGATTCCTCACTTACTCACATGCTGCATGTAGTATACGACAAAAATTGAGATCAGTCTAACCAAAATTTCAAACCGCAAAACATTTCAGATCCTTACAGCGTTTTCTTAAAATCCCCTTGCATATTCATTACTTACAAACTCCTTACTGTCTTGTAACAAAAAGCAGCACAAGCAGACTCGCAAAGTGTGTGCAGAAAATAATTAGGATTAGATTACAGAAGTTTAAAAATAGGTTCCTTATAAAGTAAGGGCTTCATAATGGGACACGTTGGAATCAATCTATGGCCAGCTCTTCTCTTGTGTAAACTGCTTTATTTGTTCAAGAAACCTTGAAAAGGCCATGGCTTAAAAAGTCATTATTGCTCTGTCAGGTCTACAACCACTCAATAAAGCCTGGCTTTAATGTTACACGCTGGATCACACCAGGCATCGGAGGTGCAGACGCGACGCACTTTAACATGTGCTCAGCAGGTATTACCTKTTCTTTCTACTAATCAAACTATGTTAGAGTTGTAATTAAGCTTCCCGTCCTCCCTGTGATGTTGGACAACTTGAAGAGGTTCCTTAACGTGATGAAAGAGAGGCCATGTCTGAGAGTCCACTGCACTGCAGAGCTGATGCAAGAGATGCACCTCTGTTGCCTCACTGGAGAACCGGGTGCTATCGATGGAGACCAAAGCGATTGGGAACGACATAAAGACTGATTAGTTAATAAATCAGCTCCCTGGCTGACTTGCTCTTCCCCGGCTTCTGCTCCTTCTCAATCTTCCTCTGTTTTCACCTCCACCCTCTGCGCCGCTCTGCAGCGGCATTAAATTCCTAAGACGTGTTGCACCTGTTTGCATGGGTACACCAGACCCCTGCCGGGTGTTCTCCCTCCTCTTCCACTACCCCTGAGGGCGCTGCAGTAGGATGATGTAATCAGATGAAAGTTGTGGTTTAACAGTGGCACAGAACCGGTGAGAGGAGAGGAGAGGAGGAAAGGGTGCTCACTCCAAGCCTGTGCAGCCCGTCCTTATAAGAGAGTAGTGGGTGCGCGCTATTGATCAGCACAAAATTTAATTCAGTGTGGAATCGAGTGCTATGCTTTACCTGAACATTGCTGGTAACTGGGCCCTGCAGCAGGCCTGTGTGACCAGCAGGTGGTTGAAAGGATCGAGCAGGAGATTAAGGGTTGGCTATAAGGGAGGGAAATGGATGATGAGGGGAACGGTGGAGTTTCAGGGGGAATAGAATTGGAGTTAGGATGAGAGCTAAAAGGCTTAATGGAGGGCGTCTAATCCTAAATTGCTGTGATTCTATGTTGACACCATTAGCGGCATCCTTCTTCCTGGTGCACTGGACGCTTTTGGTCATTTTCCTGCGAAAGGCGAAGGCGAATTGTGTGATTTTTATCTAATTTGCGGCCGCACACACTGGAGGTATTTTAAGCGTCGAACACTTGTGCAGAGGTAACTTGAAGAACCTGACAAGGATGGAGATTGGGAAATGAATTTCTCTCCCTCCTCTCCCCTTTCACCGTCTGTACTCATACACAGAACAGTTTATAGCTGCTCTGTAGAGTTCAGTATCCACAGAGATAAAGGTATCAGTTTCATTTTCTTCTAAGGTTTTTTTTTTCTTTCTCCTCCATTTCCCTTTAGTCTGCATGGCTGCCACAGCCACTGAAGTCGTTTAACACCGTCCTTGAGAAAGCCCTCGGTGTAAAAACTCTTGGCATGTTTAAGGAAAAAAGGTAGAATGCAGTGTGTGTCAGGCAGAGCTGGGACATTCGGGGGGGTGGGGGGTGGGGGGGGCTATTCCCCAGAGGGGTTATTTTCCCCTCTAATAGCTGTTACGAGCCCTACATTATATCCAAGGAGCTACATTCCTTTGGGGTCCAGACAGACACACACACACCTAGACGCACTGCCACACTCACACAAAGGCGTGCACACTCAGTTGAGCACAAATTTTCTCTCTGTGTTTCTCTCTTTTACACACACACACACACACACACACACACACACACACACACACACACACACACACACACACACNCACACACACACACACACACACACACACACACACACACACACACACACACACACACACACACACACTCAGTTCTAGCTGCTTTGCTCTCCCCCCCGTGTCAATATCCTGCCATTTGAAGTCACGTACAGCAGGGGCTTCTGGGAGTCGCTGAGGAGCCGGGCTGACGGGTAATGGGCCGCATTCATTAATAAGGTTGCCGTGCTCCTGTCCCTTCTCTGCAACGCCAAGGATGTCTTCACCGGGGGGGGGGGGGGGGGGGGGGGGGGGGTGAGGAGGAGGAGAATGGGGGACGAAGTGAGGTGAGGAGAGAGAGTATCCCGCAGGGAGTCTCCTCCCAGACTCACTTAAAGGAGCTTTATTTCAGCAGGAGAGGGGAGAGGGAAGCAGAGGAGCTGTCCGGAGCTGCCTTTTTGTTTTGTTGTTAGAAAAAAAGAGTGGGGGAGAGAGCTGGTCCACGACGAGGCCCACTAACCCACACAGGGGTCACAATCCTGCTCCCCGTCAAACAGCTTATTACCCCACCTGTCGGGAAGTAATCGCCCTAGCTGAAAGGAAAGCTGTCGAGGTGTTTAAATGCTTTGTATGGAAGCAGCTGAAAGGGTAAAGAGAGAAGGAACGAGTGCAGGGGGGAGGGGGCGGGGCTAATGGGTGTCTCTGTGAGGTATTCTGCACAAACGTGACTGAAGGTGACTGCTTTGGTAAACTTCACTGAGGTGGCAGAAATCATTTGGAATGCTTATTTAGGACAGGCATGTTTAACAGTAACTAAACTAAATGTAACTCTACACGCTTTCGAGTTGTCCTTTTTTTTTAGTTATTGTTGCACAAAGCCAAACGGTGTGCGTTTGTGCGTGGCGATGACTCTGTGACAGGTGTGTCTAGTCCACGCCAATTTACAGAGTCCAAGCCCCGTGTTTTAAGCAGAGCGCAGCAAGTGGGGCATGTAGTTTGCATTAAAGGGATTAGCAGTCGCTTCAAAAGATGACCTGGATTCAGCCCACCAGGGACACCAGTTACACACACACCCCTTGGTCCACGCTCCCTTTAAAGAACCTGGCACAGCTGCCCGCGCTACAACTTTTACACTCTGTGTGTGTGCCCGCGTTTATCGGTCATCTTGTTATCCCGTCACGGTGAATTGCGTGCTGTTACATCCTTACAGAGGTGTGGAGGATCAGATCATCAGTGGCCTCGCTCGCACATGTGGTGTTTTTTTTTTCTTCCTGCAGACCATTTAATAAATGAGCGCTGGACAGGTCTCCGGTGATGATATTCCATCAGGTGATTTGGTGCCTTGTTATGGATTTGTTGCCATGGATACAGTCTTTGATTGGGAGGCAGGGTTTCTGAGGAGTGGGATGTTGTCCGTCAGTGGTCTCGAGTCTTTGTGTTAGACCAGGGACTTAAATAGGTTCAATCCCAAAGCCAAATGGTATCGACTCACAAACACATACACACTGATTTGACTTCTGAGTGAATTAATTGGGTCTGGATAATGAAAGCCTAATGATGATGATGTTCAAATGTCAGCATAATCCAAAGATAGCGCTTGTCAATCATAACGTTTCAAATGAGCGAAAGGACTGAAAAGTAAATATGTTTGAAAGAAAGGAAATGAAAGCCTTATTCTGTGTAATCATTTTCCCATTTCTTTTGTGTGTGTTTGCAGAACCACACGTTGACTCAGCACAGCAGCTAACGTGGCAGAGCTCAGCGCCGTGGCCGAAAAACAAGGATGGCAACGCACAGAATAACGCCTGACCGCCAATTATTGTCAGCGCAGTTTTTTTTCCCCCCACTGACTGTCGTGGACTGAACTTTTGATTCAGTGAGACCACAAGAAACCATTCTACAAAAAGAAATGTAAAAAGGAAAAAAAAGAAAGAAGGGAAGAACAAACCTAAAAGAAATCTCTTTGTTCTGTACCAACCATTATGTCAAAGTTAAAGAACATTTGTTTGTACATAGACTTCATCATGTGTTGCTTAACCACAGGTATATTGCAATCTTATACAGTATTTGCCAATGTACAGTTCGAAATGTTTGTCCCCAAAAAAAATACAAAAAAATACGGTGTAAAAGAAAAAAAATATCAATGAAATTGTCAAACAAAACGGGTCCTAACCCAGTGTGTAAAGGAGAAACGGGGCGCCGCTGACAGCAGAGGAATCTGTGGGAACTGGCAAGTGTTGTCAGAGGACTCTTTTTATCAGCGGCACTCCTGCTGCGCGGCAAGTCACTCTGTATCCTGACATGGTCAATCATTATGGTTTAGAGGAGCCCGAGTCACCAGCATAGGCAGAAATCGTGTCTGCGTGTGTACCGTACAGTGATTCAGCTGCCAGAGGAACCGGCTGGGAGCGACGGCGTAACAAATCCTGCACTGCCTGTGCTGGAGTTCACACCATGTTGGAAACTTAAAGGAAAAAAGAGAAACAAAAACGACATAGAGAAGAGAGGGGTAAAAAAACAAATAAATAAATAAAAATAAACAGGACGTAGGACAGAATGCTGATATATGCAAATGCAGTGACACAGATTTGGGAAAAGGCTAGTTCATCTGGTTGGCTTGTGAACAGAGGCGTGAAGCTCCCATGTGGCTCTCAGAGCATGGGGGGCTCTCCAGCCCACTGACTCAACCTGTACATTTCTTTTATTAATGTTTACTGCTTGTTAAAGCCAGAAGATTACTGGAATTTTTTCCCATATTGGAATTTTTTTTTTTTTTTTTTTTTTTTTTTTAATTCTGTTATATCTGTATTTTTTCTTCAGAATGGGGCAGTAAATATATTTGAATTTGGGGCATGAAGACCGAACGCAGTTTCTGTCTGTCTCGGGGATACATTAAGTTACAAAACTTTGTCCCTGGCTCTCCTGGAGAGTGCCCATCATGTTACTCCTCTTTCTCTCTCTCTCTCTCTCTCTCTCTCTCTCTCTCTCTGTCATAATGCCCACTGCTCAAGCTGGAAGCCACTGTGGCACCATACAAAACTTTAAACAATTCTGTTCTGTATAAATGTTTTGCATTCATTGAACCTGAGATGCACTTTTGTATGAAACTTTAATGTTTTGACATTTTGACTGAGAATTGTTCATACACAGTTTACAGGAAAAATCACCATCTCCTGCAGCAAAACGAAAGTTATCTCCAATCTTATTCAAATGTATTGTACAAATATAGAGTTCTGTATTTGGCAGACCTCGTTTTTTTGTGTTGCACATGTGATGAAAAATATTAAAAACTGTATGAGGAAATGGCCTGAGTGTCTTGGATGTTAATGTGCATGTGGGTCTGTGTGTAAAAACACAATTAACCCTTCAGACATGAGCCTATAACAAGCATAAACACGAGTATCATAAAAACTTACAATGCTTTTTTTTATTGTATTAAATTGGATTCTATTTGTCCTCCCTCCCTCGTGGCACTCGCTAACGAACATCTGAGCATCTTAAGGGAGGTCTTTGTTATTAATGACTCCATTACCCATCACCCTGTGCGGTCCCATTCTACACACCCATGCGCCAGGCCTATTTAGGGAGCCTCCAGCACTCCGGGGGACCGGGGAAAAGATTCCTCTGCCTTTGCCGAATGGGACATTAGCATCTGTCTGTCTCTGCAAATGATTCATCAGCGGTGACATGCAAGCAGCCGAACATTTGTCGAAGATTTCAGTTGTATTTTCTGAAAAACTGTGATGCAGCTCAAAGCTCTGTAACTACTCTAACAAGACGCAGCGTTAATGCTTCATCGTCAGCGCACAGCGAGTTCTCCGTTTTTAACAGTATAAAATTGCAGAAACCGCCTCACTGCTGACTGAACAATAAAAGAAAGCCTTCTCATTAAGTGTATTAATATTAGAGGTGGTCCCATTAGATGAGCAGTTTCACTTGTGATATAGTTGCTGTGACCCTGATTTGCAAAATACACCTCATGAGCTAAAATAAAAACGAAAAAGACCAGAAAATCTCAAAGAACAATGCTACAATAGATGCTACAAGGATTTATAAAGGTTTTGCAAAAACGAGTGATCACAACAGCAAAATACAGTATTTCATAAAGCAAATAACATGACAACACATTAATCTCTTTTTGGAAATATTTTGTTGTCCTGTGTGGATTTGGGCTTGTTGTTGTTTTTGAAATGTGTGTTTGTTTCTGTTCTCATGCTTTGGTGTGTTTTTGTGTGTGTTTAAATTAATTTTGAAATTTTCTAAAACCTCTTACACATTTTTTTTAGTTTTGATACATCTTGTGATGCTTAGCATTTGTTTTATATTATTGCTTGGGTTTTTTTTGCCATCATTAGAGGTTATCATACATAAACAGTTATTTTAATTATTATAGTTAAGTTTAAGTTTCTGCCCAAGTCTAAGTTAGATTGTTTATCAAAAATGCTCATAATGATGTATTATAATGAAACTTTGTGACTGTAATCTAAAACTGATCCATTTTTGGAATCAACCAAATACAACATGCTAAATCACAAATTATTAACCTTTATCTGTGAAATGAATGGCTATACCTCAGTGAATTTGATGAATTTTGAGCTACAATTTGCAGCTGAGAGTCATTTACACATACTCCAAGTGCTGACATTATCATACAAGACATTGCAATAATGCATGAGATTGCACATAAAGTTATTGTCAATGTTTGACTATAGATATACACATTAACTCCCTTCTCAGCATAAGATGATCTAAGGCAGGGGTCTGCAACCTTGACGATCAAAGGAGCCATTTGTGCTCCTTGTCTCACTAATAAAATGTGTTCGGAGCCACAAAACAAGCTACAACTGTGATTATCAGCTGCTGGTCCGTGGGCCTTTTCGAGGCCTTTTTGGGAAACTTTACTGTCAGTGGAGGTGACATTATAAAACTAAAAGAATATTGTTATTANCTACTGACGCAGTAATAAAACGTGTCCAGAGCCGCAAAATAATCTACAACTGTGATTATCAACTGGTGGTCTGTGGGCCTTTTCAAGACCTTTTCAGGAACCTTTATGGCCAGTGGAGGTGACATTACAAAACTAAAAAATATATTGTGAATTTTATTGTTTATATTATTATCAGGACAAATAAAAAGACCATAATCATGTAAACAAGAAAAATACTGTATATGGTTTATACCGAATTTCACAAAAACTAGTACAACTGAGATATTCAGGCTTTTTTTTCTAATTCTTATTATTGTGCAGTCTTCAAAATATTTAAAGGTGATTCTAATAGATTTGAGAGATCATAGAAAGACATTGGAATATTTAAGTAAACAACAGGCTAGCATGAGCTAACATGTTTTACTTTTTGTATTAGTAGTATTGATCACATATTTGCATACAAATTGATTTCTGTTGTGGGTAAAAAACAAACAAACAAACAAACTAAAAATTCTGTTATGTTTGGTCACATTTTCAAAGTGTCACTGCAGAGGGACCAAAGAGCCACATGTGGCCCCAGAGCTGCAGGTTGCAGACCCCTGACCTAAGGCTTGTCATTGGCAGGAAACTCTGTGCATTCCTTCAAGAAATGCTATGACTTTAACTGTATATATGTTTTATGAAGGCCTGCTTGAAGAAAACTTGTTGATTTTTACAACTCAGATACCATCACAATGTACATAATGTTTATGCTGTCTGTTATTTTTAAATTTTTATTTCTATAACAAGGACTGGATGTACGTTGGAGAATAAAAATAACTTGTTTGATAAAGATGCAGCCCCTCATCCCATCTAGAGATGGTACAGCCCAGCATTAACTGTCACACCAAATGCAGGCTGGGCATCCATTAAGCAACTTTGCAAGCCTCTTTCTGTGCCAGACACTTTTAATAAGCTTCAAGGGCATTTTGAACAGATCCAGAACTTTGCTTTGCCAGAGATGGACTGGCCCACATCATCCATTACATTAAATTGGGTGGTGGCCTCCAGCTCATATTTATGATTTAATTAAATTCACTTGTGAGGCGTATCCGAACCACTGCGGCCCCACTTTTAACGCCAGCCTAAGCAGCACAACACGCACAAGCGGAGACATACATTAGTGCGTACACAAGCACCGCGATGCCGACGCTCGCCCAAGTGTGAGATTTTGTGGGCGCTTTGGAGGAGGGAGGGGGGGGGGTGTTCTCTGGGGCTCATTTAAAGCAATATAATTACACAGCTCCCAAGTATTCTTCCATCAGAAAGCAGCAGAATGGATGGCTCGTTCAGAGCTAACTTAGGCTGGCTGAGCCTCGGTGGTGCCGTCGCACTGAACATAACCTTAATGCAAGTGGCTCTTAATGTTGCTGAGAGCCTGGGCAACCCTTAGTGAAGCTGGGCAGCGGGTCCAGATGTTTGAGAGTAGCTGAAATGGCATTGTTGTTATCCAGGATGTGAGCGGAATGGCATTTTGCTTTTTCACCACCACGTATCAATCCTCAGGAGGGAAAAAAAAAACAGAGAGAAGCGACCTGTGTTAAGACTTTATTAAAGAAATATGAGATCTGAAGCTGTGCAGTATAGTTGCTGTCTTGGAAGCTAAAAGATGTGGTATTTCATCCTTGTTTGAACCACGTGCGCAAATATACATTCAGTGCCTGTCCCTGGAGTTCCGGTGTCCATGCTATTGCTCTTCTTTTGGTGCAAAATTTAGTTTGGTGCAAACTCCACATTGTTAGGCTGCACATTCCTCTCACTGAAGGAGACCTCAGAGATCTCTTATGGCATTCAATATGTGCGCCCAAGCGTGAGATCCAGCTCCATTTGGCTGGGAGATCCACTGGGACCGTCTGAGGTAACCTAATCTCTCACACCGGCACTTCACATCCACAGAGCCATCTTTTCACTTCAGAACTATGTCAGCAAAATGGACGCCTCAACCCCAGCGT